CATTTTTGCATGCACAGGGAAAGAATTAATCTAATATTAGCAGAACTGATTATACTTTTTCTTTTCTAAAGAAAACATGCAACCAAATCAGCTTAAGTAGAATTCCCTCCTATGTTTTAGAAATTTATCAGCAAGAAGACAACAGAAATCTTAGATGCCTCTAAAACACATCATCCAATATCTAAGCTTCAGGACAGTTACTGAATTTACAAAGGTAAGAAATAAGAGAGCTGACACTGCCAAAAATAAAGTATGCCTCAGGGAAGGTTCACTTACAAACTCCACTTCTACCAGAGAGTCAAAATGCAGTTTCTGGATTCTCTCAATTTATTTCTGTCTGTTAGAATGACTTAAAGAACAAAAATCAAGAGCCTCCATCGCCACATGAAATGATTTCTCATTAACATTTTAACATAAAAAACTTGGGATACAGATAGGTTCAAACACATTACAATTTCTAGAAGAATGCCAGGAACAGAAAGAGTGCAGCTTTAGGGAGGCACCACTACTTGTACCAGAGCCCCCTCCTTCTTGTGTTTCTGAAGTTGATTATGCGTACTACTAACAAAAAAAAAAAAAACTTTACCGGACAGACCACCAGTTGCTCCAAAGCCAACATCTGCTGAAATACAAAGTAGTTTTGAATGGCAAAATGGGAGACTTAAGAAACTGCACACAAACCCTATTAATTCCAGCAGGGGCAAGATGAATACAGCAATGTAACACCTCATTCTAAGCAAGGATAATTAGTCCGTCCATTACACCCATTCCACGTCTCATAGATAACAAGCCTTATGTTACCCTGAATTAAAGAGCTTTCTTCCTAAGGTCGATCTCGCTCTGTTCCTGCATGTAGGACTTCCTTCTGCTTCTTCTAGGCAGAAGGAAAGGATGGGCTCAAGATGGAATCCCAGCAAATGCCAAGCCTTGGCGGGGCCAGAGAGAACCCCGTATCCCACCCGCCCCATCTGCTATTACAGTAAGAGATTACACAATGAACACTACTCTAAAGGACTGAGCAAATGCCAAGTAGTAATGATGTCCCTTCTAAATCCTTTAGCCAATAGTTGGTTCTGGATCAGCTAAACCTGTACACTGCAGACCAGGAGGATTTCATTTAGTCAGCGGAACTGTAATATCGTAGCAGGCTGGCAAAAGGGTTCACTTTTGAGCCACGAGCAATCCAGAGACAGCACAGCAATTTGCTCTAGAGGTCCTGGCTGAAATAGCTGTAGCCATCAGGGCCAGTGGTTTCCTCTCGTGTGTACAGTTGTTTCTGGTATCGTGCTGTAACAGGAATGCCTCCTGGTATGCTGGGGAGCGAGACAGGGAAGGAACAACATTAGTTGTATATATATCTACCTACTGGAAGCTTAAATCAAGAACAAAAAGATATTGAAAAATCTCACAAGATTCCAGAAGGAGCCACTTCAAAAGAGCACATGCAATTTCATGTTAAAAAATTGTTCTATATATTATAAGTTGGAGTTTGTGATCAAAAGAGCATATTACCTAAGAAGGAATATTGCGAACTTTTGGCAGAAAGTCTCTTCTTCAACACAACTAAAGCTATAACCAGAAACTTTAACTTTGCATGTAACAGCTTGATATTTAGAGGACAGGATTTGTCAGCAAAGCTGAACAATTGCCACAGGCTTATAAATTTGGCAGATTGCTGCATTACCAGCACTCAGCAATCACTTAGTTTATGAACTATTTGATATTGTGAAAGAAGATCTTTTTAACAGAGTAAATTAGTAATTTGGGTAAACCAACAAAAAGAGATAATAAATAATAACAATGTGATCTATAATATATGTTAGGACAGAACAGAATTTCTTGCTCTCTACAGCCAGAAAACGCAATAGGACACTTTCCTGAGCAGCATTTTCTGTGTCAGGGTGAACAATCTTTGTGTACTTATTCTGTCCTGAAACTTTTTTTTGGCATAAGAACTTCAATAACGATGTGAAATAGCTACACCGTGCCACGTAACTGACCAAAAATAGGATTTCTGGCCTTTTCAGGAAAGTGGTCTTTATATTTAAAAAATCTTTTTTATTGCTTAATTAGCAAGCCTAAAAACAATGGAAAAAGGCATATGCAGTTGGTTTCTAGTGGGAAACTGCCAAATTTCAGCGGCACAACAGAAAGGAGTTATGGGGATCCAAAAAGGAACATGCAGTTTATGGCTCTTTGAAAAAGTTTTTTCTCCAATTAGGTTTCACACCAACACAGGTTTCATAAAATGTGATTTCCTCAATTAAGCAACTTGCCATTCATTAATGTTATTATTTGTTTGGTTCTATGTGAAGTATTCTAAAAAAAAATCTGTCCAAATGAGAAGCTCTCCCATTGGCAGGTACAATTAAAAGACCAAAACTATTCAACTGATTTGTTCTGAGACAACTTGACTTCAGAGGACTAAAAACTGATTCGCTCAAGGAAACTGAAGACGTTTATTATTTATAGATTCATACAGTGTGTTTCCACACAGGCCCGAGTTCTTTACCAATAGCAGTTTCTCTACGTTACAAGTAGTCCTTGATTTACAATGGCAACTGGGACCAAAAAATCAACCATTGAGCAATGCAGTTATAATGTGTGACATCATGTGACTGCATTGCTCAGCAACAGCAATCCCTGCAATCCCTGTTACTATTGTTGTGAGCACCTCTTCAAAACTCTCTACTGGCTTCCAACAACTTATAAGAAAATGGAGAAGCCAGCAGATAGCTGCAAGTCCCAAGCAGCTCACAAGCAGGCTAGCAGGCAGATAAATGGCTGCTGCCCAGTGGGAGAGGAAGCGAGAGGTTCATGGGTGGCTGGCGAGATGTGGTATGAGTATGAGGCTCAGAGAAGCTGCACAAGGTTACAAGAATGGTGGGGGAGGCACAGTGCAAGTGCAGCAGGGCTTGGGGTGACTTTTGCTGTATGGGAACAGTGCGCAAATGTCCGGCGAGACAGTGCAAGTGTGAAGCTTGGGAAGGCTGCACAAGCAGCAGAGGAGGTGTGACGTGAATGCAATGGGACTTGGGATAGCTGCTGCCACATGGGCAGGGTGTGTGAGGGTGCATGATTGGCCAGGTACAGTAAGACAGTAAGCAACATTCAAGCATCCCAAAGGGCACAGGAGTGGTTAGGAGGCAAGCAAAGGCCAAAGGCATGAACCTATGTAGTCTTATCTCCTTCAATCCAGAAAGCACAGTCACAGCCCCATGAATTCCCATTTAGCGACCTCTTCACTTGGCTGAGTTGCTAGTCTCAGGGTTAGTGAGCGAGGACTACACTATCTCTACTCTGGCTGGATTATTAGTATCGCCGTTCCTGTGCTTACATTTGTTCCAGAGCATTGGGAGCAAATTTGGAGCAGGCAAAAAGGATGGTGTGACAACAGAAATTCAATTCAGGGAATAAAGAAATATCTGTTTAATGCTGAATGTAATGAATTATCAGAATCAGAATAGAGCTGAAAGGGACCTTGGAGGTCTTCTAGCCCAGCCCCCAGCTCAAGCAAGAGATCCTATACCATTTCAGACAAGTGACTGTCCAGTCTCTTCTTAAAAACCTCCAGTGATGGAGCGCCCACAATTTCTGTAGGCAAGCTGTTCCACTGGTTAATTGTCCTCACTGATAGGAAGTTTCTTCTTAATTCCAGGTTGCTTCTCTCTTTGGTCAGTTTCCAACCATTGATTCTTGTCTTGCCCTCTGGTGCTTTGGAGAATAGTTTGACGCCCTCTTCTTTGTGGCAGCCCCTCAAATACTGGAATACTGCTATCATGTCGCCCTTGTTTCTTCTTTTTTTTAGACTAGCCAAACCCAGGTTCTGCAGCCGTTCTTCATATGTTTTAGTCTCCAGGCCTTTGATCATCTTAGTTGCCTTTCTTTGCACTTTTTCCAGAGTCTCGACATCTTTTTTGCAATGTGGTAACCAAAACTGGATGCGGTATTCCATGTATGGTCTTACGAAAGCTTTATAAAGTGATACTAATATTCCATGTGATTTTGATTCTATGCCTCTGATTATACAACCAAGGATTGTATTAGCTTTTTTTGGCTACTGCTGCACACTGCTGACTCATATTTAAGTGATTGTCCACTAGGGCTCCAGTTACTATTTTTGAGCCAGGTTTCACCTAATCTGTACTTGTACCTTTTGGTTTTTCCTGCTCAGGTGTAAAACCTTGCTTTTCTCCACATTAAATTTCATTTTGTTGGATAGGGCCTATTCTTCAAGTTTGTCAAGATCTTTTTGGATCCTGAGCTTGTCTTCTGAGGTGTTGGCTATTCCTGCCAGTTTAGTATCAACTGCAAATTTGATGAGTTCTCCTTCTATTCCCTCAGCTAAGTCATTTGAAGAGTAGTGGGCCTAAAACGGAACCCTGTGGTACCCACTGCTTCCTTCCTTCCATGTACATGTAGTACCATTAAGGACTACTCGTTGAGTACGGTTTGTCAACCAGTTACAAATCCATCTGGTGGTGATGCTGTCTATCCCACATTTTTCTAGCTTACCAAGAAGTAGATTGTGGTCTACTTTGTCAAATGCCTTGATGAAGTCTAAATATACTATATCCACAGCATTTCGCTGCTCTACTAATTTAGTCACTTTGTCAAAGAATGAAATAAAATTGGTTTGGCATGATGTGTTTTTAACAAACCCGTGCTTGCTACTAGTTATAACTTTATTTGTTTCTAGATGTTCACAGATACATTTTTTTATTTTCCCCCCACTTTCTTCCCAGGTGTTGATGTTAGGCTGATTGGTCTGTAGTTTCCTGGGTCTCTTTTTTTCCTTTTTGAGGATGGGAACCACATCAGCTCTTTTTAGGAATATTCAACTGTGTGGCCTTATAAAAGGAAAGCATATTAATTCAATTTAATAAAGGGATGCATAACCTTTATTACCACCAAGCATTACCACCATACATAACACAATTCAGTGATCACATCTGAAAATTACATCAATTATTTTAGATAAAAAAAAATAAAGCACTTACTGGTTCTTGTGTTTGAAGCCACTGATGTGAGCTTGATACTGCTCTATAGAATTCAGTACTATGTTACAGTCATTGCAGGGATATCCCTTTCCAGCTGAAAATGTCATAAAATTTGAGCATCAAATTAACTGAATTAAAGAGCCAGGTCGATATAATTAACCGTAAAGAGACATTTACAATGACTCTATGTACTGTGATGCTAGGAATTCTAAGCAGTGTCACAGTCATTGCCAGTTTAATTTACACAGCAGAGCAGATTTCTGGTCATATATCCAAGTTTCCTATTTTTTAATTATAGCATCTGCATGGAGTTCAAAACTTAATTGGAACATTAATGCTGTGCTGTTTTCAGGATTTAAATGTATGTTTTCAAACAAACAAAAGAATTGTTACCGCGGTATATATGGGTGTGTTCAATCTGGAAATAGGCATCTGAGAGGAGATTAACATTACTGTCTTTCAAAGAGCTGCTCCCATAAAGCTCAGAGCCTACCATGATTGCAATGGTATTAAAAAAAATTAATAATGGGAGTACTGATCGCTGATCTCCTAAAGCACGATTCTTTATGAAAACTGTAGAACTCCTGCTGCAGAGCTATTTTTTTTTTGCATTACTCTCATTCTCAGATCCTTAAACTATACCAGAAGGAAAGCGAACATTTGTTGTTGTTAAAAAAACCTGTTAAATGGAATGTGACACAAACACACTATTCCAAATTGTAGTATTATATTTTTCAATTCATCTGTTTCTGGTTATGTTAGAAATATTTTCCTTAGTAAGAATTGCAAGCAACATATTCAAATGAATATTTTGCCATGTAGTTTATACTGAATGTTTGAAAAAGGCCAAAAAAAAAAAGACACATCTGTCAGATTCCCTGGGAATTATAATAATTTTAAAGGCAAGAAATATGTAAAGGTTCTCTTCCCATTCCAGAGGAAAAGAATGAAGAATGGCAACAGCGGAACAGAGAAAATGTTGATTCTTAAAACATCTACTAAAATCATTACAATGTGCTATATTTCTGAATGATTCCTTATAACTAACAAGATCAACCATTTTTAAAATCAACAGGATAGAAGTTGCAGATTAGACAATTGTAAAATTCTCATTATGGAAGCCTTTAAATAATGCTCCTCTTGGTTGCTATTTCCCCTCCTGTGAACTCCAGTAACATCCAATTATAAATCTATCTAATACAGGGGTGTCAAACTCGCCACGTCACATGATGTGTCACGATATATCACAACTATTCCCCCATTGCCGGAGCTGGGGTGGGCGCGGTTTCGGCATGATGCATCCGGCCTGCGGGTTGGCTGTTTGACACTCCTGATCTAATAGGTATCTTTTCAACACTAACAGGTAACAGGCCATGTGGACAGACATATGCACCACCCCTTGCAATGAACCTGTTTAGTTATTCAAAATGAATATTTAAAAATAGCGATGCTCTATTTATTCTGCTATTCATGCCTAGAAAGGATTAGAAATTTTCTAATTTTGGATATCAATATTCTAGAAAAGTGAGAGACCAGAAAACCTCTAGGAAAGCTACAAGAAAATAAATCATTTGAAGGCAGAAAGAAAAATAATAAAATTATAAATTTTGTGAAAAAATAATTAAAGGAATTCATTATTATTTCAACAAGTTTCAATAACTGTTCATTCCATCTACTGAGAAAACACATTTTGAATTTTGGGAAAAAAGAAAATAAGATTTAAGCCATCAATTTGTATTTGACTTTTTCCTTGGAGGATTTCAAGATTAGACTAGTGAGATAGATATATTAGTTATGAAATGAATCAGTGTCTGCCTGGCAAATTGTTATGGAAGCACAAGGTAATGTTTGCTTATCTAGTATTTTCCATCCATCCATCCAGGATTGCTGTTGCCAAGCAATGCGATCATCTTGCTTTATAACCACATCACTCAATGACAGAAATTCACTGCCATCATAACTTGAGGGCTATCTATACTTAAAAAAAAAGGGATAAATGAAGATAAATATTTGGGAAGAAGATGTTTGTGGTATTACTGGCACTCACAAGATTGAGTAGTTGTACTGTAAGTCAAGGATTACCTATAAAAACAAACACTTAATGGGTAATTAGGATGATAATTCTATCACAGATCTCTGCAAAGCAAGTAGGGAGTTGGAGGAATACAAATAAATGAATCAGAATCTTCAACTTGAAGTAAGATAAACAGCACATACAGAGGCACAAAACTGGGCAACCTGGGTTCTTATCAGATAAAAGGAGCAACAAATGGAAGTTAATCTCTCTGCCTGGAAATATTTCAGGATGGGATAGATGAGAATCATTCCAGAACCTCTGTAAAGGGAGGAACAGAGAAGCATACAGCTGAAGGGAGTAGTGTGTCTGAGGTACGCTCCTTCTGAAGCTTCAGTATGGTAATCGACCGGTTAATAGGAGGCTAGAGAAAATCTTTTGGAAGAATCCTCCAAATTACAGAATTAAATGCTAGGCTTAGATTAGATTGAAGCTCCATTCCACAAATTATTGTTTTATTTGCCATAGTTATTTTTAAACATTTCTTTAAAAAGATATTTTTACCAATTTGATATAATTTTGAGAGGTCTATCTTTCTGGTACATGTATGATTTTCCTATTCATTTTTATTTAAGCCGTCACCTGGGCAGACTATCAGGACACTCTGTTTTTATATTGATAATTTTAAAAATTGTAGTCTCATGTGGCTGCCAAGAATTTCCTATCCAAATTACTGACAAGTTCTATAATTTGTTTTTAAAAAGTATATTTTGCCAACTGTTAATTCTTCATATGCTCATTTTATTTTACTTACATCTTCATGAATCATTTTGCTTAATTATGAATTCTAGTTTACCTCTGAACTACCAAATGTTATCCTTATTTTGACATGCTTTCTACTTACAGTAATGGTATGGATCATTTGTATCACTGTCAACATTTAAATTTCCCACTTTTTATTTATTCTTTTTGGATACATTGCATGTACATTATTCCTCTTCATTTTCTTTCTAACAAAAACCTTCCACACCAGATTGTAGCACTATAAATACTGAAGCCATATTTTTGCAGCTCATGAAAAATTAAAAATTAGATGTAGAAATTCCCCCACCCACCGTTGTCTCTCTTAGCATTGGCCTCAGCCCTCTTGCTCTCCTTTTAGTGTCCAACTAGATTTGGGAGAATTTTAAAGGCATATGTGAGAAACAGAAGCTTCTTTACCCAAGCCCAGAATTTTCAGGATGTCTCGTCTAATTCTCCCCTCATCTTGAAGGAACAGTTCCAACCTAATCACTCTGCACATGAACACACCCACTGTGCAGAATATAAGAGTATATTTTGTTTCCAATTACATAATACAGGCAGTCCTCGACTTACGTTCGTTTAGTGATCATTTGAAGTTACAACGGCACTGGAAAAAGTGACTTATGACTGTTTTTCACACATAGGGCCATTCTAGCATCCCCATGATCAGGTGATCAAATGTCAGACTCTTGGCAACTGACTCAGTGATTCACTTAACAATTGTGCAAGGAAGGTCGTAAAATGGAGCAACATTCACTTAACAAATGTCTCACTTAGCCACATAAATTTGGGGCTCCTAAGTCGAGGACTACCTGTAACAAAAGTGAAGCAGCCCACTATCACGTAAGACATTAAAAACAAATGGTTAGTTATGGCATTATCAACATGTACAATGGAGTCTGTTCTTTATTCTGAAAGCCTTCTATAAAACACTCACCATTGGAGACAGCTGGTTCCTCGGGAGTTCTCCCATAGTGTGCCATCAGCTTAAGCTTGGTTTCCTGCTTTTTGTGTTTCTTGCCGACATAGTGTTGTTTTGCCATCAGTGGATTATTGAATGTAGCATGGCAGAGATTGCAGAATTTGTCTGGGTCAGAAGTGTTTTGATTCTCTTCATTAGAGGACGCGGTAGTGGGAAGAAGATTAATAGGCTCTTTCTGAATGGGTAAAACTGTTGCAAATATAATTCAAAAGATAAAAACAAAAAACAAAAAATTAGAGGAAAAATAAAAGCATATTTTCACAAAACCAGAACCACAGTATCCTCACAAGGCCATACATTTCCATTCTTATTCTGCATAAAGGTTAAATGTTCTTAGCACATGCACACGTATACAGGTTGCAAAACAAATAATCTGAAATAGCAAAATGATCAAGGGTATGTATTTTGTGTGCTTCTATCTCTCAGGCATTTTACCATTGTTATCAGTCATCAGACTTGGGACATCAGTGTGCAAACTCTCAACTTAATATATATATGCTCTTGAACCTTATTATGTAGAGGACAGGGACTGCTGGATAGGGTTTGTACTATAAGGTATATAAACCCTAGACTATTCTGATGAGAGGTTTTTTTTCCCACAATGCCAGGAGAAAACTCCTCTGTACCTTCCTGATCATACCTTCTGTTTTAGGAGAGTGCAGCTTCAGTTTCAAATTCTTGGCATGAGTCTTGCCTAAGTAGTGAGAATTAGCCACAACAGGTGAAGAAAAGGTCATGTTACAGATGGGGCAGCATTTGTTCCTGTCTTCACCGTTACTGCTCTGTTGCTTGTAAAAAGGAACACAGACATTTATTGGGATTGAAGGGACAAAAGGAAAGCATATCAAAATGTCCCATGTTCAAAAACTGGAACTTAAATGAAACTGTTAGCATGGGTTCACACCACTTTTTTACTAAATATCGTCCTCTTTATTTAAAGCAGAGAGTGAAATTAGCACAGAATTATTCAAGTAAAGACCTAATATGTTGTAAAATGGAAATAATTTACTAGTAGGCTCTTATCATCAAACAAATTGATGCAACAAGAGAGCGCTTTAGTTGAAAATAGGTTTATTATGTTTCTGTAGCAATATTAATTCACAATTGTCTCTGAATTGTAGTCTTCTAATAAGCTTTTTAAATTCATCTTCATTGAAGGCAGGATTAAATGTTTTTGCAACAATGCCCAATGTCAAAAATTCTCTCTGGAACATTATATTATTGGCCAAGACTTGGTGCACCGAACGCACCTGACGGATTTTCTATAAAAATAAATGTACAATGTGCTTATTCTTCTTTGGAGTGCTTACATTACCTGCTCTGTTTCCAGCTTTATTTTTTTATTCTGACTGAATTCCTCTTCCACATGGATAGCCATGTATCTCCGAACTTTGTTTGCATGCTTCTTACTCTGAAGGAAGATAACAGAAGACAAGAATGCTAAGCACACCTAGGGATCTTTTATACACATATCAGCAATTTCAACAGCTATCTCTAGTTTAAACCACACCTGATAATGAGCAAGCTTCTGAGATTCAGAGATGAGCACCGCGCTACATACTTTGCACTGGGTGTCGGTGAAGATGTGGCTATTTTCTTTGATCATCCGATCCACTGTAAAAGGCAAAAACATCATTACATACGTATATATACGTAAATGTCAACTTGTGTAAATAATTTAAAAACTACGAATTCTTGCAGTCACCTAGCAATCTTCACGGCCTTTCCAGAATAACACAGAACTCAAATATTCTTTGCTTTCTGACAAATATGAGTTAGATGTTCTGAAATGACAATTTTAATCCCTTAATCAGAAAAAAGCAAATACTTTTTGAGAAAAAAAAATATTTTACTCATTACATTTATTTAACTCAACTGAACAAAAAATAGTATCCTTGAGGTTGAGCTTGACTCCTGATGATTTCGTGTTCACATAGTTTCTTGGTAACAATCTAGAAATAGCTTGCCACTGCCTTCTCTTCCACTTGTAAACAAAATAATTTTAAGACAGCACAATTAAAGGCTCAACATTTCTTTCATTTTAAATATAATGCCAATGCTTTCATTAGTCTTCAGCTAAAAAAAATATCACCTGGTCAATGGAAGTCTTTCTGTAAGAAACTACATTTCTAGCATTGTTTCTGGCTTATAAATCTTCAACATTTAACATCTCACATTGTGTCAAGAACAAAAAGATTCATTTCATTGGCTGTTTTGACAATATGTGTAATGGTCAATGTAAGTATGTAACTATCCTACACCAAATAACCGCTGTGTACACATGGACTGAGAAGATGAAAAAAAAAAGTGTGAATAGAGAATCTCATCTATCATTGATCTGTAATTCTGTACAAACACAACCCATTTTACAAACTCCAGCAAATCACCACATTGATACAACAAATTACAAATACTGCTGTTAACAACATCAGGGGGGAAAAAATCATCTGAATTATATTTACTTGTGGCAGTAGTAGAACAGAGTAAGGATTACCCGCAGAGAACAAGAATTTGTGGCAATTTTATAAAGTTAACAGATTGTACAATAAGTCTTGTAGATTAATGTCTGCTTTGTCATTTTTGTTTTTATAAAGATTACGGGAGCAAACAGAATCCTGGAACACACGATGCTCATTTCTGATGCAAAAATCTATTTAATAGAAAAGATTCACACTTAATACCGGTAATAGGGAACAGCCTTTCTAACCCTGTTGACAACTGTTACCTGATAAGCATTCCAATAGCTTGTATTAATGATTAGTGAAAATCCACCAACTGTATCTCTTTTCAGTTTAGATTTGGACAGACATTCCCCTTACCTATTTTTAAACTTTGGAAGAGTCCAAAGTTCAAAATAAGGAAGTAGTTATATATTATCAATTCAGACAGAAAATATAAGCTATCTGGGGACGCGAGTTCTAAGAAGGTTGCCATTACTACATGTGCAAATAAATCCATGTTACATATGATAACATACAAATTCTCTACTACTTGTCACAAGAGGTCCAGCTCTTCTCACTCAACCCCTTTGCCTTATTGTAATCTTCAAAATTTTTCTAATGTCCAGTGCACTTGGAAGAATAACACCTGTGCTTATCCATTTTGATTTGATTTATGCTGAGGATGAGAACTAGACCATGTGTATTCATGGCTGGGATTCAGAGGAACTATTTATAGGGGATCTTATCTTTTCTGAAGAAGTCATTTTAAAAGACAGTGTTGAAGATCTCTTACTTATTGACAGAGAAGGTAAACTGGACCTACTGAAATGTTCTGATAATCAAGACAAATTCTTAGGCTTAAAATTCATTTTTATTTTGTAACCAGCACACTTGAATTCGAATTCTATCAAAAATAAGATCAATCCAATCATTGTGAAATCTGCTCATTACTGATGTAGAACTGTTAAATTCACACTTTAAATTGTGTCCCAAAGTGGACCAGTATGTCTATCACATGTAAGGTTAAAAGCAAGGAGACAACGTCTGGTATTCTAAAATAATTACAATGTCTGCAATTGTTTCTGTCCTTTCTTAGTATCAAATCTATGTCAATAGACTTTGATGACTTCATGCAGAGCTTCATAGAAGCTTCAAATCTACTGGACCAGGGGTGTCAAACTCGCGACCTCACATGTGACTTTTTTATTGCGACTTTTTTCCCATTGCCAGCAAAGTGTGACGCATCCAGCCCGTGGGCCGGCAGTTTGACACCCCTGTACTGGACTATAGTTCCTAGATGTAAGAAAGGAAAGTAATATCCTTCCAAGTGTTGAATTACAATGACCAACATTCCTCATCATTTATCATGCTGGCTGGATTTCTAAGAGCCAATATTTCAGCTGTAATTGAAAGATCTCATATTTTCAATCTTAATTTAGACCAGGGGTAGTCAACCTTGGCTCTTTTATGACTCGTGGACTTCAACTCCCAGAATTCCTGAGCCAGCACAGCTGGCTCAGGAATTCTGGGAGTTGAAGTCCACGAGTCATAAAAGAGCCAAGGTTGACTACCCCTGATTTAGACAATGATGATTTTACTGATTTTACACTATAACATTTTCCCAGCCCTATGCTTTGGAAAAAAATATTTAATTAATACTGAAGACAACTTGTAATCTTTCATTTTCAAGGGCCTAACTCACTATACCGATTAAATAACAAATGGTACTATATTAATTTAGGTAAGCAAAATGCAGAAAACCTATAGATTTATGCAGATACACATTAGAGGTATAGATATTTAGCATATATTATTAGAGGTGAAATTATCCAATTTGATTCTACAGAATGTAACTTAAGATGTAAAATTAAAAAGGCTTATTTAAACAATTATACCCATATGATTCGATTGAACATTCATTTCATTTGTTTATTAAATTTTTATGCCGCCATCTCCCGTATAAGGTGACTTTGGGCACCTTACAGGTTATAAAACAAGTAAAAAATAGTTAAAGCATTAACATAACACAGAATTAAAATATTATTAAGAACTATACTGAACTATACTATAACATGAATTAACAGAAGAATACCAGTACATTCTTGGGAGGGTATTTTTCTTAAAATGTAAGATAAAATACGATACAAAACTGCTCTTCATGCTGCTGTTTATATTAAAAATGATAAGAGAATATCAGTGATGAGCTAACTTTAATTTTGAACAAAATAACTGCACGGTCCACTTATGGTCACCTCCCCCCAGCAGCTTTCTATGAGACTGCAAAGGGAACAATATGCTCTTCCTATCTAATTAGCTAATGAAGAGAAGGATCAGGGTGATATGATAGCAGTTTTCCAGTACTTGAGGGGCTGTCACAGAGAAGAGGGGGCCAATCTATTCTCCAAAGTACTTGAGGGCAGAACAAGAAGTAATGGATTGCAGCTTATTGAAGAAAGATTCAATCTAGACTTTAGAAAAAATTTCCTGTCAGCCAGAAGAATTAATCAGTAGAACTGCTTGCCTCCAGAAATTGTGAGTGCTTCATCACTGGAGGTTTTAAAGAAAAGATTGGCAACCATTTGTCTGAAATGGCATAGGGTCTCCTGCTTAAGTAGTGGGTTGGACTAGAAGCCCTCCAAGGACTCTTCCAACTGTTACGCTCTATTTTACGATACCAACAGGACAAAAATAATTGGCTAGGTGGAGCTTAGAATATAAATAACATTTTAATAATTGAATAGGTAAACACATTTTGCCTTTCTCACTGCAAAGAAGCATGCCCATATAAATGTAAGAATATGTATATAAATAAATATCCAACTAGCACAGTAAACAAAACAAATACACTAGGAAAAAGTACCTTTCTGGTCACCAAAAGATGAACCCAACAATCTCTTCTAGGTAGAGCGCAATTTTTAGACCTTTTTCCTGTCCTGCAGAAGAAAGTCCTTGCCTTTCAATTGCACATACTGATTTCAGCTGAGTATAGTTCCATTTTGCTACACACCAGAAAAATTAGAAAACCAAACTGTGTGTAAATAGTTAGCAAATACACTACTGTTAACTGATGGTTCCATAATTTCTTAAATCGACTCTGATCCCGTCCTCTTTTATAAGACAGGACTGTTAGGTCTATCTTTCAGTAACAAGACAGGTAGTTCAGAATTAAGGCCTACTACTTTCTTGATCACTGAAGATGGAGCCAATAGGACATGGATATACTATACATTCCTATGGAGAGTCAATAGAGTTTAAAGTATCTTCTGTAGCAATATTTACTCGAAGGTTCAAACTTGTCTATTTTATGTTAAATGAATGCACGTATGTCTGCTTGGGTTACTGTCCTACAAATGTAGATCAGGACTGGTAGCTAATGGGGACAGTTCAGGAATACACTATCATATCCGGTAATCCATTGCTTTCTTCATCCATAACTCCTTCTCCCTGGTTTTGAAGGTGAGTAAAAGCAGCTTCTTCAATTTTCTTGTCAATTAAAGAGCCTGTCCCCACCAAGCAGACTCTAATACCCACTTATATCTGCATGTGTGCTCCATGATGCAACTGCATTAGTTTTTTGTTTTTTTTTGCAGTTGTCTGCCCACCTGGCAAATGACAGCATTAATTTGAGGAACATTTTCTTTGCATCTTCTCTATCTTTGTGGAAGCATGTCTTGTTAGTGGACCTGAAAACTCCAGCAACTGTTTCCCTATCCTGCTTTTTGCTCAAATAACGCTTAAGGTAAGATCTCTAGGCCAAAAGGATTAAGTTGGTCTTCTTTAATACTTTCTCTCCCCCTTCACAAGGGCTTAAGGATTTTTTTTCTTCTTTCTATTAGAATGGAATTAACAAATATTCCAAATATTTTTTTAACGAATCAATGCTTAACTGAGTTGTAGGCTCCTAGTTGGTAATCCACCAGCTAATCAGAATCAGCAATGCACACCCAAAGCCACAGAAGGTAAGTACTGTTAGTCTCATCAAGGGATGGTTCAGATGCCAGAAGGTCACTAATATTAGTGTAATCCAATGTTCACCTAGATCACCTTGTATCCCACTTGTGGAGAATGAGAGGCTGCCATAGGGTTGTTATAGTTGAAGAGATCTGGCACTTGTCCACTGCTCATTTGCTACCTAAAAGCGCCTCTGACTGATGCAGGCGTGAGTGCTCTTGGGTCTGCTCAAATATAGATCTATGAAGCTATAATATCATTTTTGCCCCAGCATTCTCTTAAATTCTTAGTCTCCAAATGGCTTTTCTACTGTAGCTGTTTTTGGTGTGCTCATCTACCATACTTGCCAAAGTTCTTCCCATTGCAGTGCTGGTACCAAATATTTATGATTTGTGAAGCTTCAGCTATGACTTGAATTCTTTCCTTTCTCTTTGCAGTCCTCAACGTAACGCTAAGAGAAAAGTCACTGCTTCTTCTAGTCAACAAAACTAAAGACTGAAATGAAGGAGTTTTCTCCATGACATAGGAAGAAGTCTTGAGAACTTCTTCCTAGAAGAGGTAAAGTTAAATCTTCACTATCAGCTCCATCTTTGGTAACCAAGAAAGATGCATTTAAAATATATCAGTAGCATTAAGTGCATCATTTAAAGAGATGAAAAGATTTCTAGGTTGAAAATTGGCAACTCTAATAAACAAAGAAAACATAGCATCAGGTACAATTAACCTTTACATTTCTGCATTTACTGCATCACCGCATAATTACCATCTTCCTATTTCATTTTTCCCACTTAAATTTCCTCATAACTTAATTACCATAGTAATCCATCCATCCTTCTTTGATTTGGTACCACCTCTACATTTACTTTTTGAGTTTGATTCTAGTGTGTAATGAAAGATTAAATGAAAGACTTGGCCCTGAAAAGGTTGGCTATTCCAGATTTATATATTATCTAAATCAAATCAGATCCATGGTGTTCTAGAACAGGCAACATACCCATAGAATTGTCAGCCAAGGGGCATAATCTGTAGCTATTACTATATGTGCTTAACTATTATTAGATGTGTCCTCACTACTGATTCATCTGTGATGTAAAGAGATTTCCCTGTAAGATATTAGCATTCTTCTATGATAAGCCTGCAAAGAAATCTGGAACATTGGCAGGAAAAAATGCCCATCTGGAGCAATACTATTTCTTTACCAAGTAACAAGTCTCTTTTAAGTTTTCAGAAATCACTTTTTCAATGTAACTCTTTCAGTTTCTAATTTATGACCTGTTAAAATATCTCTTATACTTTCCATTCCTTTTAGCACAACACAGTGCTTTCCAGACATTAGGGACAAGACATATCTCCCCAATATGTGTTGTAATCTGACACATTTAAAGAGCAACAATTTGGGAAAAGCTCTTTTGGGATTTCACTCTGGAAGTTCGGCTTATATGTACAATGAGATAGGCAATATATCAAGTAGGATAAAACCCAATGCCAGGACTAGCAATAGTCAACGAACCACACAAAATTGACTCTATTGATTTAGAAAAGATTATAAATATATAAGGTAGCTTTTATCCCTCATGTTTGGATTATAATTCTTATCAGCATCAGCTATCATGGCCATTATTCGCTGGAGATGATGAAGTTTCACAGGTTCACTCTTCTGGAAGATCCCAGGTGGAGGGAGGACGTTATAAACCACAGGGAAAGAACATTTCTCTCATCACACCACTAAACTTCCTGAGACACTAGTTCTAAAGTTGTGGACAAAGAGATGAGTGCCGTTTCCCTAGTACAGGGCTTTTCAACCAGTGGTACGGGTACCACCTGTGGTACATTGGCACCTGGCAGGTGGTACGCGACCATCCTAGAAAAGTGGTAGAGGGGGAGGGGAATGAGCTGAACCAGTGGCAGCACCGCACAAGCCTGAGCGAGAGATGGCTGGAGATGCAGGGCTGTCAGGGCTGAGCGGAAGCGCCAGGATCAGTACCGCTTTCCAGATGATCGGCGCTTCTTTGGGGCTGTCAGGGCTCAGTGGAAGCGCCAGGATCAGCGCCAGGCTCCAACTGGAGCTTGGCTCTGATCCTGGTGTTTCTGCTGAACCCTGAAGAAGCACCAATCAACTGGAATGTTGCAGCATCTCCAGGGTCTTGTGATTTACATTCAGATGCTTGGCAACTGATTCATATTTATGACAGTCACAGTGTCCCAGGGTCATGTGAAGTGACCAAAACCTGCTGCAACCACCCAGCAGACGGGGGGGGGAATAAAACCCAAACACTCCCCCACCCCACCCTAGCTGCCAATCCTCAACAGAAATGGTCACAACAATGAAAACCTCAGACAGGAGGAAGAGCACGGCCAGGTGGGCAGGCAGGTGTCTTGCTCAGCTGTGGCTTGCCGGGCACTTTTTTCAGTGCCATTGTAACTTGGAAGAGTCACTAAGCAAACTATTGTAAGTCGAGGACTACCTGTACTTTATCATTTTTTTCCTCTTTTTGGGGGGGTCATCAAGTTTTTGACACCTTGCTAGGCGACTGATGGTACTCAGATGTTGCCATATCCTAAAAGTGGTACAATGGGTGAAAAGGTTGAAAAGCCCTGCCCTAGTACAATGGAAACGGTGCACTCTTACACCATCTGAACAAGTAACGGATGGAGCGTTACGTTTCGACTCAAATAATCAGATTTCCGACTTCTTGTCATGACTAATTTTTGTTTTAATCTCAAAAGTGTCCTCGAATTTCGTATCTGCGGGCTGTCGCCGGTACCGAATGCAAACAAAAGTCTCCGGAGCTCAGCTTGGCAAAGAGCTGGAAATGTTGTGAAGCACCCGCGGAGGAGGAGGCAGAAAGCAATCCACGAGCGGGGAAGCACGTTTGGAGCGGCGCCCGTTCTGCACGTTTGATATGCGGGGGAAGGATCAGCAACCGGTCCCAATCCTGAAGCCCCGCCTGAGAGCGCGGGGAAAGGGCAATGGCCATCATCCATCCCCAAGTCCTACTTTTTTTGACGCAACACTGTACGCTTATAGGAACAGGTAGGAAGATAAGGTACAAGACACCGGTCCTCCGCAACAGCAAGGCAGAACCACCCCAGCCTCACCTGCCTCCTTTCCCACCGGCAAGGCTGAAGCGTCTCCGTTGCTACCCGCTTCGTCCGCCATCTTTCTCCAGCGTCGCCGCCCCCGAAGTGTCTGTCTTCTCCCAGAACTCCGAAATATCGCGAGAGGCCCCGAACCAAAGGGACGTAACAGTAACGCGAGAGTCCGCTTTCTCAATCGGGAGATCGAAAAAAAATCGAAGTGGGAGGTCTCTGTTCTCGCGATGCTTGATTCAAAAGCCTGGGAAATTGAGCACGTGACTGAAGCTGAGTCTTACTAGTGCCCGGAGATGGGCGGATGTTCTGCGGTTCCGGCGGGAAGGGAAATTTGCCTTTAATTCGGAACAGTCAACTGTTTAAAGTTCTTTAGAAACGTATATATTTCGTGCAGTGCATGAAAGGACTAATGAATTTTGGTTGTATATCTCAAATGTGCATTCTCATGTACCTAGGAATCCTTGTGTGAATTCTGATTAAAACTGTTAATCTGAAACCCTTGCGGGAGTGAAAAAACGATTATAATCCCATGTCATATTTAAGACAAGCACGGAAAGCCAGGAATAATGCTGTTAAATGAGTATAAAGAACAATGCCGAATTGTATTCAAGGGCAACGCTGGTCAGAATCCTAGAAGACTCTCATTTTCCAGTATTGGGAGGTAAGCGAGAGAAAAAAAAAGCTTCGAGAAAAACAAGCCACTCAGCCGTATCGAGTGCACAGCACCGTAACTCTTTAACACTTTGCAATAGTGGCGAATATCTGTAGCTCGGGTGTAGGATGAGGATGAAGGTTCATTCTCTGAGCTTGTGGGTTGGTTTCTGAATGTTTCGTTACCAAGCTAGATAACATCTTCAGGAAGTTTAGGGGATGGCACCGACATCCCAAACTCTGCTGAAGATGTTACCTAGCCTGGTTAACGAAACGTTCAGAAACCAACCCACAAGCTCGAACCTTCACCCTCATCATAACACTTTACTGCGGAAAAGAGGAAGGTTACAATCCCAAACCAAACGGCAACAAAACCAGACGGTCTGCCTTCAATTCCAGCCCAATGACCGAACCGAGGCTCGAAGGGACGCTCCCTCCCCAAAGGCGAGCGCGACCCAAGTTCCCGCCTGTTCACAGGGTACGCGGATCGTCATGTGACCCTTTTCCGCAACAAGCCCTTCATCTTAGCTACGGGAGTTGAAGCTCCCGGAGCCAACATGAATATGGGCAAAAGGCCCGCTGTTGGCTGCCTTTGAGTCTGCCGGCGAGAAGAAGCAGAGTCCGGGATTTCTCGTTGCCTCCTGGCAGAGTTGAATGGGGAGGGAAAGGGTGGGGAATGACAGAGGCCCGGTGTGGGGAGGGACTGGATCGGTGAGTAGAGTAATAATCCCTTCGTGCTCATCCCGACCCGCCAAATTCGCTTGACGATCTGCCTTTCGGTGAAATCTCCTGACATCTCGAGATCTTCTCCCAGGACTGGTAGTCCCTGCAGAGTGAATCCTGTGAGCCTGGCTTTTTTTGGGGAGTGGGGGGGGGAGGGAATTGCAATCTTTCTGGTTCACTTTTTCCGCCAAAGCAGGACGAGAAAGTTTGTGGGGGTGGGGGTCGCTGACGCAGAAATCGTCAGAAAAAGCTTCTCATAGGACAAAAGCTATGTGTGGTCTGTGTATGAATGTAATGTAAAGGCACAGCTGTAAGAGTCCTTTCGGAAATGAGCCTCCAGAGTAATAAGATTATCACATTTATTAAATCAATTGGCTCATTCGATTTAAAAGTCACGTCCTTTCGGCCCTTATCCTGCTTATTATTTAATCTCTGTGTGCTTCGATTACTTTTCTCGCACTGGTGTGCTGTTACTTGCTCTTCACATTCATGTGAAAAAAAAAATATGTGTTCCGTTTTTCTCCCTCTGGTAACTTACAGGATTTTCATACTATCCCGCGGCCATGATAAAAAGCCTGTTCTCAAAACTTTTACTTTTGGAACAGTGATGGTTGGATAACTCTAAAAGTTCCTATATTTAAACTATTAGTGAGAAAGATTATCCTGGAGCTGAAGTCACTTTAAAAATGCCTGTTCCTACCCTAATGTAGCCAACCAAAGAGGATAGAACTTTCTGCCTGTCTGATATCTTTATATAAAAATAGGAATAAAACCCATTATCTGTGGCTTATTTGCACTTGCAGTCCTTCAGGCTATATTGTACAAAAATACTAACTGGGAAACTTAGATATTTTTCAATATTCTCTTAAGTTTTCGTTTTAATATCAAAACAGCAACACTTTCATTAGTATCTCTTTCAAGATGTTTTCCAGTTTGTTTACATGCTGTTGTATGTCATAGTTGAGGTTAATAAATCACATGTGCAATTTAAGAGAACAAGCCAAATAGCAGCCTTCTTTTAGAATACGGGTATTCTTTTTCCTATACCCTGTCCTTGAGTTTGTAAATAGTAAATAGTACTACAAGAGGCCATTAGAACAATTATGCAAAGAAGAAGAAAAGTGGCTAATGTTTTTTTAAAAATGAAATGAATATTCTCAATCATTTCCCATAAACAGAACAGTTTGTTTCAAGGAGAAAAATAATTTTGAGCATCCACAGAATTAAAATTCTGACAGTTAAACACTATACTTAATTGTACCTAGAAAAGTACCTAGATTTGTGGAAGCTAGTTTAAAAATATTTCTTGCAAAATGCATTAGGGAAAGTGGGAAATCATGTTCAGTGAGGGAAATGTTGATTAGCTATTAGAAGTTGTGTAGTGATGACTATTGCAGAATAACACTTTCAAATTATACCTTATTTTCTAGCCTCTAGCTATTTCTTAAAATAAGTAAATAGCCACAAGATATGACTTGTTATTTTAACTTTTTTGGTAGTTTATATGAACATTAGTAGTTTGTGGATACAGGCAAGTTCAAAATAGAATACGTTGTAATAATTAGAGAATCTGGAGGATGCTAATCAGCTTGAAAAGAAAAATTCAAAGAAAAGATCTTCCAGGGAAATACTGATTTATTGTATTTATTCAAACAGTGTTTAAAGTTGAACTCAAGAGACATCAATTTTGTTGAATGTATCTTGGTTGCTCTTTGATTTTCAATAATGTTGGGAAATTTTTCATTTGGGCCTTGATTGCATGGAAAAGTTCTTTGTCTTTTTCTTCCTTTTCTGGAATTAGGTAGATGGTACGTCCTAGCCAACTTTGACTGATTTTAAAAAAGCAAACAGCACCGAAGTTTATTAGTAGTTGAATGAATTATATATTTATTTATTTGTCAAATTTAGACACCACCTATTTCACAGAGTAAAATGGGAGACTGAGTGGGAGAACTTCAGTAAATTCCAGAACTATGGGCTAGACTGGGAAATTGAAGCAGGAAATGAGAAGCTATTTGTGCATTTTTGATACTTCGCACTGGATTGCAAAGCTGAGTTGTTCTGGAGATAAGATGAGAGGGAACTACATGTATGCCAACCTAGGAAATACAGGATGTAATAATGCATTCATATATAAAATGTATATGTATATGAATATAAAATATTTATATAAATAAATAATTATAAAATATATATAGTATAGTATATAATATATATATACAGGTAGTCCTTGACTTACAACTTCAATTGAGCCCAAAATTTCTGTTGCTAAGCAAAACATTTAAGTGATTTTTGCCCCATTTTACGACCTTTCTTGCCACAGTAGTTAAGTGAATCACTGCAGTTGTTAAGTGAATCTGGCTTCCCCATTGATTTTGCTTGTCAGACGGTCACAAAAGGTGATTACATGACTCTGGGGCACTGCAACTGATCCAGCAGTTTGAAAGCGGGCGATCGTGAATAGATGGGTACCACTTCGGTGGGCAGGGTTAGTGGAGGCATGAAAAGGCCCCCAACTGGGTGTCCTCTGGGCAATGGTGATGTCACCGGCTAATCCTTTCAGCCCAGAAGTGCTTTGGCGCTCCCGACATGATGGTAGTACTATAGTTGCCAAGTGTCTGAATTTTGATCATGTGACCTTGGGGATGCTTCAATAGTCATAAGTATGAAAAATTGTCATAAGTCACTTTTTCAGTACCATTGTAACTTTGAACGGTCACTAAATGAACTGTTGAAAGTTGAGGACTACCTGTACACAGAATAAATCTGCCTGCAACTGCAATGTAGAAGGTCCAAGAAGGCAGAAGAAGGCAGGAAACTGTTCATTTACAGGACATCATATAGGTATACCAGGCAGTACAATTGCACATTGAGAGGCCGAGCGTACACCATTTTGATGCTGCCCTGTCCTGTGTGTTTGTGCTAATCTTGTGTTTAGTTTGTGGTGTTCTTTCTTTGGTAGTGACTAAATTACTGTAGTGTGTGAAATTAAGCAAAAGCATGTATGTGCATGTTTTTTATACTTGGTTGGACTAATGAAAAGCCTCTTGGAATGTAACCTGTTTGTCAAGACAGAACCACCATATATAATATACTTAGAAAAAATAGACAATTTAAAATCTGTTGATCATTGAATTATTTCCATTGAGCAAAACAACAATTTTCAAAAATTCATGAGGTTCAAAAGTCCAGTTACTAATGGACAAAATGATCCTTAAAAGTCAAAGAAAAACCTTTTTATGGCTCAGGTACACTATAGAAAGACATTTCCACTTAATATGATCAGAAAATGCATAGAAATTTTGTGGTTTATAAAAACATTATTTGAAAGAATGAATGCACGGAAAAATAAAAAAGAGATGAGAAAAGTCAGAATTAGCAATGAAATATTCCATGGTGACCTCTTTGTTTTAGCAATGATACTTTTTACAGATACTTTAAACAGAATCAAATATAAATATCAACTATCAAATGTCCAAAAATAATTCATTTGCTATACATGGATAACCTAAAATAATTTGCAAAATAAAAAATAGAATTTGAACCTCTACTTTATATTACCTATATATTCACCAATTCAGTCTAGGTAAGTGTACTTATTACTGAAGAAGATGGAAGCTAATGAATGGCAATACTATAAGACAATTGGTGTCAGAAGGAGGATATAAATATTTAGAATTAATGTAGGCCTCTGCTTACATGACTGCTAAGAAAATATTAGC